TCCAAAAAAATTTTATATAGTCAGTGAAATGTTTTTTAAAGATATTTTGGTATCTACTTGGCCAATTTGGATGATCTAACTATTATTAGATTTGTCTCAATGAGCTCTACAACTTTACTTAGAGACTCAAAGATGATTAACTTAATACGAAAAAAAGTTTTTCTTAGACAATCACTAGAAAATTTCTATTTTTATGCCTATAGTAATTTATATATAGAACTGTGTCATATTTCACTATAAATATTCTTCAGTTCACTGGAGAATCGTCAATTAAACTATTTTAAACTAATTTGAAAATTACTTAAATATAACCTTCAGAGTATTTAAAAATTAGTTTAAACCAGTTTAAATTAGCTAATTTTTATATAATAATTGTATTTGCTTACTTTTACTAAAGTTTATCCTATAATACTCAATAAAGTTCAGATTTTTAAGCATTAATTAAAACCTATCATAATAATTATTTAAAAAAATTAAAATTTTCAACACATATCACGCTTATTTTCTACTATAATGGTCTCCTAAAAACATATTCTTACAATACAACATGTACCTGAATTCAATAGAAAATATATATATTCGAATCCTAAAACTGTTTATAAACACTTTGTTAATACATATACTTTTTATATAATGGTGTTTACTGGTGTTCTATTTCCAAATAAAGAAGTTTTATGCACTAAGCTGTCAAAGAATAGCATTCTATTAGAACTAAAGAGAATGAAATTGAATCAAAAATTAGAAGTTATTTGAATACTCAAATTCGAATACAAAGTTATCAACAGATTTCGCAACCATCATAGTGTTTAAGATCATAGTTCATCTTCATTTATAATAAATATATATGCTGTATCTTATAATGCAGTAGCTCAAAAGAGAGCTATTAAACTTATAAACAACTTGGAAAAAGAACTATCAGAATTAAAAGCTATGGCTAGAATTACCTCTAATGCTAGGCTTCATTATGAGCTTAGTTCACATATAACTTTAGCTCAAAAAATAGTTAAGAAACAAGAAAAAATATATATTTTAATAATTAAAACTAAAATGTATCAATTTTATACTTAAATTTATTTTTATATTATTTTAGGCTTAAAAAACTTCAGGATCACATATCTGCACAATGTAAATCACAAGCCAAAAAATTAAAATCACTTAATGAAGATAGTATTGTTGTGAGATACGATTCGGCTAGCTGTTTATCTATTCTTTTTCAGTATTCAAATCTCTATGACCATATTCATAGTTTTATCGAGTTTGGAGAAGCAGATGTATGAAGATGATGTGAAATGATCAAAGTTAGAACAATAAATCAACTCAGAAAGTCTTTAGAAGAAAATTACAATGAATACCTGTCTTATATAACTATGAGAAATTATACTTTATTTTGCAGTAATCGCAGCTTAAACACAAGAGCCTACTACTACTCTGCTCTCGTTAGAATTGCAGGTATTTCTCAAGATGAAATGAGAGAATATATAAACGAACACTATTGCCTTGCTTTAGTCAAAAATGCAAAGCAATTTGCTACAACTTTCACTGATCATATAGTTATGATTTCTCAGGACGATAAGACGAAAGTTTTAGTAGAGATTCCTGCAGTTGGAAAGCATTTCCAAACTATACAAACAATTCATGAACCCATCTTTGTTTTTGATCATAACTTCTCTATCAGGGTGTTACAAAAATTAATACCATTAGTCTACTTGATGATAAATCCAAGTAAAACAAATAGATTATTGTAGAAAGGTCGGCTATCTATTTTTATCAGAGCCTAATAGTTATTTGGTAAGCTATAATTAAATTTAATAAGGTTATATAAATAAATTTTTGGGTTTCATAGGTTTAAAACCTTGAAACTTGTTGATAGCCTTTTTTTTTTTTTAAAAAAAAAAAAAAAAAAAAAATCTACCTAACTATTACTTCAAAATAATGCCCAAGGTGTAGGTTAAAATTTTGGCTTGAATTAAGCTTGATTCAGTCTAAATTAAGCTTAATCCATGCCAAATTTTAATCCACACCCTGGGGTATTATTTCAAGGTAATACAGTATAATTCTATTATAATTTGTAAAATCTTGAAATATTGTAATTAATATAATATACTAATGAAATTAAATAAAAAAATCAAATAGGGATAGCATCAACTACACATATAACAAATATATTTACTATAGTAAACAATAAGGATTTTGATACAATTTTCAAAAATAATGGAGAAGTCAAGTCTCTATGGGTCCTTTTGGTGGATGGTAGGCCCGATGAAAACTCATGCTACCAAAAAAATATTATCCAATATTGTAAATTGTTTTGTTATCTCGATTTAGACTACCTAACTATCAGGATGCATGTGCTAGGCCAATCGGCTTATAATGTGGTCAAAAGAAGTATGTCAAGTCTCTCCAAGAAAGTAGCCAATATTATGCTAGAAATAGATCATTTTGGGAATCATCTAGATTTACAGAGTAATGTTCATGATCATAAGTTGAGCATTCAGAATTTCTGTCATGCTGGAGAATCTTTCGCTAATCTTTAGAGAAAAGACCCAATTTACGAGAATCTAGTCTTTGTTAAATATATTGATGAACCACCTATATCATTTGATAATATTAATTTTTCCAAAACATTGACAAAAGAAACTCAAAATAAAAGTGAGAAAGGAGACAATATATCTGAATTATGGTCTTGAATTGAAGCCCACTATCAGATTTGTAATTACTCCCTTAATATTAGAAAGTGTAAGGATCAATCTTGCTGTACTTCTAAAAGAGTTGATAAAGCTGCTGCCTTACTAAGTGTAAATAATAGCTTCCTGCCCCTAGTAACTAAAGGAAAGGATAGACATTATTTTAACACTATATATATATTGCAATATTTTGACAAAATTAAGATTCTCTCTTTTGATCAACACCTTCTATCTCTTTTAACTGACGCATATTTAAGGTGCTATTGCATAGAATACAACAAATATTTCTCTACAATTGCATTTCTTGCAATCCACAAAAAATATAAATATCCAAATAGGCGAGGCTAAAATCTAAAAATTAGCATTAAAGAGAGATAAGCTCAAGTTAACTCAGCAACAATGAAAAACTTTTCTTTACCATCATCAAGCCAATTCCTAATTGTATTAATTACTGTGTATCCAATATCTGACAGAAAGTAAATTTAAAAAACTAAACATTAGAAAAATCAAATCAAATAAATAATAAAAACAAAATCTATACATAGCAACAATAAATTAGCAAACCAGTATATAAAGCATATAAATTTAATATTAAATTTGTAGTTTGCTATACTTGTAAACTATTAAAAATTACCCACTTGCTATATTGTTTTGACAGTAAAAATTCTTGATTCTTTTGTATAATAAAATCAAAAATTACAAAATTACTGTATAATGGAATAATATGCTTCTTATTGCAAAGCTACTAAAAAAGCTCACCATTTTAAAAGTTAATTATATAAGTTCTTTTTATTTTGTCAAAAAAAAAAATTTAAAATAACGAAATCTCAAGAAAGCTTAGATTTCAGATCGATTTAATAAGCCTTCCGCTATACTTCAAATTTTTAGACTGATGCTATCTAATAAAACAAGATTCTTGTAAGTCAGTTTGAGTTAAAAAGCTAAAATATTGTTTCTAATACGTTGAATAAGTAAAATATAAGTATAAAAATATAGATTTTTTAATTTACCAAAAAGGTGCGAAATATATACTGTTTAAAAAATGATGAGCTAAATAAGTTTTATACTCGCGTTTTGTGTAATACAATTCTGCTAAACACAATTTAATTTACAGAAGCAATTGTCGATATTATATAACTGATCCTTCACCCAGTATACAACATATAAAAAAACTATTTTACAATACCAGATCATTCTGATAGTACATGTTATAATTATAATTCTACACCATATTAATAATAATAAAAAATAGTGTGGGATTATAATCATAATATGCACTGTTTAGAATGATCTAGTATTGTAAAATAGTTTTTTTATATGTTGCACACCGGGTGAAGGATCCATCGTATAATATCAATGGTTGCTCCTGTAATTCTAATTTAAGAATAGTGTCCCGATACAAATATTGAAATTCCAGAAGTTTATATATGATATTTTGGTAGGGACCCTTTTCAAAAAAAATCAGATGATAAATAACACTTCCCATATCATAATAAAATAACAATAAAGCTATTGGTATTCTAATATATTATACTTGTTTTAATTTTAATATAAACAAACTGAATTTGTATAATATGTATTTTAATTTCTATAGATTATATGATATTATACAAAGTTTAATCATATTTGATTTTAACTTAGATGACAGTTTATTCGAAAATAAGATCTGACTAAATTCTATAAATAAGTTACACTTTTTTTTAATGCTTACAATAACTGATTTAATTATCTTTTGAGTATATATTAGCATATTTTACTCTTTTGCATTATTAATATATCATACTTTTATTTGAGCTATGTTAGTTAATATACTTTTTATTTTGCTTATATTTTATTTAGTAATAACTATAATATTGTCATATTATATATTTAGTCTAAGGTAAAATTATATATAAAAAACCAATTTTCTTGTCTTTTTTTTTTTTTTCTTCAAAACAACTTACCAAACAATTAATAGTTCTAAAAACCTTTTTACTAAAAACTTTTTTTGACAATTTTGTTTTTTTTAAAAAAAAAATACATGAAAGAAGCTTCTAACAAATTCAAATAATATTTCAATGTTATTTACTTTTCCCTACTATGTTTTTACAATGAAATAATTGTTCAACAATATCTTTACAATGCTACAATCGATCTTCAACATCTTTGCAAAATTGTAATAATTTTACTACACCTTTCTGTTCAAATAATCAATGTAATACTCGCAGATCTAGGTTTTGTTTTTTCTTATATGATAAAAGTTTCTCTTGCAATCATAGATCACATGATAGAAATAATAGAAGTTTCTCTCACTATTATAGATTACTTAAAAGAAATAATCAAAGTTCTTCTTGCTATTCTAGATCAAGCGATAGAAATAATTGAAACTCCTTTCGCTATTTTAAATCTAGAAATAGAAATGATAAAAGTTCTTATCGCTATTTTAAATCTCATAATAGAAATGATAGAAGTTCCTCTTGCTGTCTAGATCTCATGATAAAAATGATAGACATTCCTCTTGCTGTTTTAATAGAAATAATAGAAATAGCTTAGGTAATATTAAAGCTATTTATTTTTTTAATAAAGCTATTGATATACTGGTAAGTTAATAATCATTTTATATATATTAGAACTTGATTCTTTGAAACACATAGTAGCTACTTTAGTAAATGAAATAAAAGAACTAAAAAAGATATCCTGAACCCCAACTCTGAGTTGTGATGAAAGCAACAATACTAATAATGACAATTATCTTAGTAATGAAACTGTTTATACTATTAGTAAAACAGAACTAACATATTTTTTTGATAATTTTAGTCTATCAGATCTAAAAAATAAAACAACCAAAGTTCATCTTGCCACCACCAGCACCAAAACTAAAACTACTACCAAAACTGGCTCTAACCTTGATAGCATATCTACATATTTTTGGAATTATTGTTTATTTTAACGCACCCCAAAAATTAGATAACACAAAATGCAAGGTAAGTCAGCTAGTTGACAACCAATAAAATTTAAGAATAAATTTAAATATATCAATATGCA